ATGGAGACCCGAGAGGCCTGATCCTTACCCAGTGACCTCCAGACACCTCCACCCATCAGCCCCCCGCCCCTTCCCAGTCACCCTGAGACCTTTCTGGGCACTGCTGCTCCCCCAGCCCCCCCTCCAGGAAATGCACGCCCTGCGGTGGCCCAGGGCCCTCGGGGTCCAGTGGCCCCTTATCCCAGCACTCCAGTCTCTGCTGGCTCTGCCCGGGGTCCGCCCTCCCCAGCCATGCTCACCTGCCTGCAAGAGAGACTTCCAACGCAATCCTCACCCACGGCTGGAAGGCCCTCAGGCCACCTGCTGCGGGTGGCTGGACAGCACCCGGGGCTCAGCCCGGGCCTGGCTCACGGGCCCAGAGTCCACAGTGTGGCTTCTCCCCCTCCTTTCTGGACAGCACCGGTTCCCTGGCTTGACCCTGGTGAGTTGACAGGACTTGTGGGGCCGTGATGGTCCCAAGGGGACTGTGAAAAGTGACGCTGCCCAACCGGGAGGGGGCCGGGCGGGGGAGGTGGCAAGTCCTAATGAGAACCAGAGGGAGCTGGCAGCCTTTCCTGGCACAGTACCCCGCGTCCCAGAATGCCACAGTTCCCGGGCCTGGGCCAAGGGGGCTGCCGTCTGCATCAGCTCTGGCTCTGTGGGGACAAGCCTGGGCCTCTCCAGGTGGAGCCTCAAGGTGACCTCTGTGTCTCGAGTGTCCGAGCCCAACAAGGGCCCCCGGCTCTTTGGCAGACAGTTCCACAGCAAACGTGAGGACCTATTGTGTGCCACCAAGAACTCATCAAACCACATCTCATATTGCTTTAATGTGCAAAATAGCTCTCTTCTCCCCATGTCACAGACATGGAAACTGAGGCCCAGACCAAGCCCCTAACCATGGTTTACACAGCTGTGAATGTGGCCCTGTGATCTTGACCTTGTGATCCGTGCTCGTAGCCAAGACACTCCCGCTCAACCCAAGGTAGACAGGAGGAGGAGACAGAGTCTACTTCCCTGGGAGGGTCACCCGTAGCATCGGGGGCCTCTGGGGTCTCGTGTGCCCCCCACTCCACCTCGAACTGGGAAGAGATGCACAAGTCAGCTCTCGCCACCTGAAATGGCCACAGAGACCCGGGAGGGGGCTGATGCAGGGGCGGCCAGGGCAGAGTGTGCTGGGAAGAGCCCCCTGCTCCAGGGGGCGGACGGGAGGGCGCAGGTGCCACAGTGCGGGGGACGGTAGTGCTGGAAGCTCCAGCTCCACGGGCCCACTGTGCACCAGGCGCTCTGCCCGGCATTCTGCAGCCAGTCCCCGCAGCACACAGACGGAACAGGCGTTAAGCGTCATGACAGGAAGATTCATCCCCTCACATCTTAGTGCCCCAGCGACGCCACACTAGATGGATCTGAGGGAAAACAAGGCCGTGACTAAGCCCCGAGGGGACTCTGGGACTTCGTAGCCCAGCCTCTACGACCTCAGGTAAGACCAAGACTCGCTTTTTCCTCTTTGGAGGACACAGGTGCGAGGGCCAAAGGAGACCGTTCGACAGTTAATTTATTTTTACTTTAGTTTTTGAGTAGGTAACACAAGAGGAAAAGGTCACATGGAAAGAAGTAGGACCCGGAGTGGCGTTGGGCTTGGCGATGGCTGTACCGGAACCTGGAGATGACAGAGCAATTCCTGCAAAATTGGCCTCTGCTCACCTTTTTATGCAGGAAAATTATTTCCAAGCTAGAACTCTGCACTTAGTGCAATAGACGGAATGTTTGTGCCCCCTAAATTCACGTGTTGAAACCTAAGCCCCAATGTGACAGCATCAGGAGGTGGGCGTTTGGGAGGTAGTTGGTCGTGAGGGTGCAGCCCCCACAATGGGATCAGTGCCCTTATAAAGGGACCCCAGGGGGCTCCCTTGTTCCTTCCACCACGTGAGAAACAGCGAGAAGACAAGACGCCATCTGTGAACGAGCAAGCCAGCCTCACGGGACAGCTAATCTGCCAGCACCCCGACCATGGATTTTTCAGCCTCCAGAACCTTGAGGAGGAGGGGGGCGATGGGAAGGAGGGGTGTGGGTGGGGGCAGGTGAAGAGGAAAGTTAAGGCTGCTCCTCCATAGGGGAAGTCAGGAGATATTGACTAAGCTGGAAAAGCAAGAAACAGCAAAACAGGAATGTTAGTTGGGAATACAACAGAAATACCAAAAGAATTAGTTAAAAAACGAAAAAGGAAGCAGTTGCCTCTGGGGAAGAGTAATTGGAGTGGGTGGGGTGGAGGGCCTGGACTGCTGTTTTTACAAGCCTTAGGACTTATTTAACTCCTTGATGACAGGCACAGACAACTTTGATTTAAAAAGAAACAGTTTTCCTGTGAGTTGTAGGTAAGGGAGAGCTCAGATCGCAGCCCCAAAAGGGCATGGAGACCCTGCCCGGCGTGAGTGGCGGGAGGGAGGGCGAAGGAATGAGATCCAGGGCCCTGGGTGCCCCGGTGGAGAGCGGAGATCTTGGGGACCACCAGGTCATTGGGGGTTCCCCACTCCGTGGGGGGTGTCCACCTTCCCATCACAGCTCGGGAGGAGACACCTGGCTGCGTGCCCTGGGATGGTGGGGAGGCCACAGTGGCAGAGGCCGTGCAGGTGGACCCCGTAAGAGGCATCTTCCACACCTTGGTCTCACCTCCCCTCAGGCCCTTACTGGAGACCCTGGAGGCGGGGCCGTGGACGCAGCTTGGGCGAACCGCTGGTGCTCGGCGCTGCGAGCTGGCCTGGCCAGCCCTCACGCTCTGCTGGGATTCTGTCCTCGGCTTACGCCACCAGATGTAACGCCAACACTTATTTTTTCCCATTTGAAACACGCGGAGCGAGGGCCAGCATTCATCTGTATTCTGAGAAAAATGCAAGGTCTGGTCCCTCTGCCCCAAGTGTGGGAACAAACAAGCCCTCGATATGCGGAGGATGGTGCAGAATCACACTCACAGGCCCCATCTGTCCTCCGGGCTTTGGGCTACTTGCCTCCAAATTACTGGCACATTCTGCAATTCCGACACCAGCTATGGAGGCTGCTTTCTCCCGCCAGCCCCTTGGCCAACGCAAAGGGTGCAGTTGGCGAGTCCCTAAATCCGCCCCAAGCCCTGCGTGTCCCTGAGCCCCAGGCAGTGACAGGGGTGGCGAGGGGCCAGCTCGGGGGCTCAAGGAGCCTGGCCCCCTGCTGGCATTTTATACGCCGGAGACTTCTGCTCAGCGTGGGCAGCGGTCGGGCAGCCTTGGGGTCACTTGGGAGCTCACTGGAAACACCAGCCGCCAGCTGCACCCCCAGAGCCACCGCCTCAGGACCGGCATTCAAGCAGACACCTGAGGAGGTTGAAGTTCAGGCACTCTGGCCTATAGGACTTAATTCTCACCCAGTCACGCAAGGTTGGTGTCACCTTCACGTGAGGGGGCCCAGTGAAGCTAATTGACTGACCCCTTGCCAGCCAGGAGTAAACACTGGCCTTGAACCCGGGGCTCCTGCGTCTCACACACTGTTACGAGCCCCCACTCTGCTGTGGGCCTATGAGGGTCAGACACAGCCCTGCCTGGGGGCAGGCAAGGACACACGGCAGCGCAGATGCGAGGGCCAGGTGTCTGTCTGATACCCAACTCCACCGCCTGCTGGCTGTGTGACACTGGTCAAGCGACCTGCCCTCTCTGTGCTTCCGGTTTGCTCTTCTGTGAATGAGAGAATAACCGGGGATGAAAGGAGTTACCGTCTGCAGGGTGCTTACAACGGAGCCTGGCGCAGAGCAAGCACCCTAGGTATGTGTGTTAACCAGACATTAGAGAAAAGTACCAGCCAAGCTCAGCTCAGAGGGAAGAAGGAGCAAGGGGGGCTCAGGGAAGGCTTCCTGGAGGAGGAGCCTCCCAAGCTGAGACCACCTGGGAAAGGAGGAGCAGGAGTGAGGGCCCAGCAGGGAGAAAGGAGACCAGGGGACCCTCGAGGACATGGCTGGAGCAGGCTGCCGGGGCAGGAGGGGGCCCAGCGCCCACCCGGAGGACCAGATGCCAGGTCCTCAAAGTCGGGAAGGATGCCCAAACCTTAAGTGAGATGTTTCCTTTGTCTTCTAGAAGGAGCCGAACAAAGGACGTTGGTGAGAAGTGAACGTTCTCTTTTGACCGCTGAGGGCTGACCCCGGCTCAGCTGGTGGGAAGGACCCCAGGCCCCTGTGGACACAGCAGGTTCCTCCCAGCCTCCCTCCATGTATGGGGCACCTCTCCTCATGGGCTCCCCTCCTCAAAGACACTCCCTTCTCACGGGGCACCCTCTCCTCATGGGGCAGCCCCTCCTCAGGGCACCCTTTCCTCACGGACCACTCCCTCTTCGCGGGTACCCCCTCCTCAGGCACCCCCCCACAGACGTCTCTTCCTCCACAAGCTGGGGTGAGGGGATGACCCATCCACGTGGAGGTGTCCCCAGGTCCAAGGACACGGGGCTCCAGGCTGGGCAGGGTGCAGAGCTGGGGCCTCTGGCTGGTGAAGCCACTGGGAGTCATGAAGGAGCAAGTGTGGCTGATGGCGCCAGAGCTGGGTGACCCCAAATGTTGCCTGGGAGCTCAGAGAAGCGGGGCCCAGGGACGGGGCCCGGGAGCAGCCTTCACGAGAACAGCAGCAACCATGGATCCCTTGGTGGAAGGCTCCACGTGCAGGGGTGCCTCTCCCAGCCCCGCCCAGGGGGTTGTTTCCGCTGCTCCGTTGGCAGCCCGGAGGCAGGGACGCATCACTTGTCCGGGTCACAAGGCTTACAAACAGCAGAGCCAGCTCAGGCTCAGTCCACCTGAAGCAGGCTCTGCCTGTCGCCTGCCTGTCACCTGAAAGTCAAATCTCCTCTGTGGGGCCTCCATCCCAGAGACCGTCACTGTCCTCCTACCTGCTCTGAGCCTCACCATCTGGTGGGTCCCAGTGGAAGCCTCCAATAGATGGTCCCTCTGCCTCTGCCCTCGCTCCCCCTAAGCCTGGCGCCCCAATCTCTACTTCCCCCACAGCTCTCACCACTGTCTGGCGTCCTGTGTATCTACTTGTTCATTGTTTCTTGTGCTTTACATGGAGAATGATCAGAGAGATGGCCTGAGGGGTGCGCTGATGGAGCGGATGCTACCCAAGGGCTCAGGAGGGCTCCCTGGAGGAGGTGTAGCTCGGTCGGGTCGGCCTGGCTGTGCACATTCAGAGACGGTACAGTGCAATGACCCCCATCAGCGGGGGCTCAGGAAGGATGCCTCATCTCCCTGCTAATCTGACGCCACTTTAAAGGAGCTTCTGCAGAGGGCCGGGATCCTGGTGACCCATCACAGTGCCCCAGGTACTAGCAGGTACCCGATCCATTAAGGCCTTCATCCAACAAGTATTGATGGACAGTTGTCATATGTGGGAGGCTCTAGAGACCCACAGGAGAACCACAGGGCTGTGGCCCAGCCCACACCGGCAAGAGAGCACATCCATGGAAGAGAAACAGGCCCCCTGGGTCACAGAGGTGGGAGGGAGGCACAGAGGGAGGGTTGGTCTGGGAACAGCCCCCAGAAGAGGAGCTGCTAGGCAGACAATGACAGGAACAGTGTTGAAGGCAGAGGGAACAGCCTACGCAAAGGCTCTGAACAGGAGGCCCAACTTCCCCTCCGTCTCAGAGGGGCCTGAAGGGATTGTGAGAGGACAGCGCTTGGGCCTCCACACAGCAAATTCAAGCCAGGGAAGGGCCAGGGCTCTTTTAAGCTGAAATGTTCCAGCCCAGCTGTTCGTGCCGTTCACAAGTCTGACAGCAGCCTGGCAACCGTGCCCCTGAAATCCCACTTCATTGTTTTGGTTTTAGTTTGTGTTTTTCTTTTTAAGGAAAAACAGCTGCAAGGCCAAGAGAGAATGGATGTTTTGGAGAAACTTCTGACACTACAAGCCCGGCTATTACACTCGGGGCCAGGCCCCCACATGACCCCCTCGGGCAGGCCTGGCTGCAGCGGTCCCATGCACAGACTGGGCTGAGCCGCCCGCCCAGGGTCAGAAGCAGGATGACGGCCCCGCCCTTTCGGGCCACAGACTGAGGCCAGCACCAGCTCTACCTCCCTCCCCCCGTGACAAGACCAGGCCCTGCGGGCCCAGGCCTCAGCTGGCTGGCTCAGTGCGTCTCCCACGCCCTCGCAGCCCGCTTGCCAGGCCGGGCTGAGCGTCTGCTGGGCGTGGGGCCCGTCCTCTGTGCTCCCAGATCCCCAGACCATCCTCCTCGCTGTGACCCCTGTACGAGGGTGACAACAGCCGCGGCAGTGGCGGCTCCCATTCACTGAGCATCTGATAGGAGCCGCCCGTCGTCCCCTTGAGTCCTCGCAGGAGCCCTGCCATGTAGCCGATGCTGCCCCATTTCACAGACGAGGAAACTGGGGCACCACAAGTTTGTGTCACTTGCCTGAGCCCCGAGTGGGGGCCAGGAGCTCTGACAGCAACACTCGAGTTCTTTTCTCTCCTGGATTTCTGGGTCTGGCCTGGAAAGGGACAAGAAGCCGTGGGATCTGGGGCAAGGCGCTGGCCTGGAGCCCGAGGGTGGGCACGCAGGCTGGGCTCTGACGTCAGAGCAGCCCGGGGAGGGCTCGGGACAAAGACGCAGCACCCACCCCCCTCACGCCCACCCTGCCCTGCCCCCAGTGCAGGACACGAGGGTGCCCACGTGGCTCTAAGATGAAGCAGAGCGAGAAGGGGCTGCGATGAGAGCCTCGGGGGCAGAGGCAGGGAAGGTTCCAGAGAGGGTCCAATCTGAGGCTGGCCGAGGGCGAGGTGGGTGGCCTGAGGTAGTGAGGTGTCTGGTGCCGGGCAGGGGAGGGGCGGGGGAGAAGGGGGGAGGTCCAGGGAGACCGGAGTGAGCAGGGCCCTGGATGCCAGTCCGAGGAGCTTCCACCTGACCCCCAGAGTGACAGGGAGCACAGAGGCCACCCCTCTGCCGCGGGGGGCGGTGGATGCTGGCTCGGAGGGGCGTGGTGGTGGGCGTGGAGGGGAAGGACTCCAGAAGGAGGGAGCACCCCGGAACCTTGACACTACCAGCTTGCAGGGGGCCGAGGGCGACCCCTGGGGATCTGTTGGGGGATCCCAAGGATGCGCCCTTCCCTGGGGAGGACGGGGAGGGATAAGCTACGGCTCTGCAGGACCCGACTACAGCTACCTGGGCGGGTGAGATGGGAACCCAGGGCTCCTGGAGCCTGCCCAGCGTTCTCCGCGTCCATTCTGCCTCCAGACGCACAGCGGGCAGCCCTTCCCTCTGGGCCTGGCCGTGGGACGGGGATGAGGGTGGGTCACCACGAGGGAGGGAGCCGAGAATAAAACCTGCTTTCAGCCTGGCTCCTCTGAGCTTCACAGCCTGCCGGGAAACACCAGGCAAGGTAAAGCCGCGGGGGCCTCTTTCCACCTACTGAGTTAACGTGTTCTGGAAGAGTAGTGCCCGAGCTGGGCGAGCTGGCAGCGGTGCCCTGTGGCTTGCTGTTGGCTTTATGAACAGGGATATCCAGTTTGAAAAGCAAACACACCAGCCATTAAACAACAAAAATGTTCATGGACCTCAACCCAGAAATTCCGCTTCTGGGAGCGTATCCTAAAGAAATAATCCCAAATACGTGAGGGAGGCACATGTGCTGCTTGCGCACCTGGGCTGTGCCATCTGCCATCAAAAGCAGCCTTCACATCCAGCCACAGGGAAAGGGCCAAGGAACACGTGCTCCAGCTTGTCTGAAGGAACAGTACGCAGCCGTTTAAAAAGACGGGTGTGATACCGTATGGCACCACGGACAATACTTCAAGTCAAATATTAACAGAAGAAACGAGGAAAAATGATATGAGCGCTGGCCGTGTGGTAAGTTCAGAAAAGTCACTCCAGGAAAAGGTCTGGAATTAACACTCCAAATGAAGCGGTTTTTGTTTGGGGTGAGTGGGTGATTCTCTTCCTTGACTTTAGAATTTTACGTAATGTGTTTTTTATTGTTTTTATGATTTTAAAAAGGATTGTTAACTGAGAGAAATGCTCTCAGCTGGAAGGCTTGTGAAGAGCTTTGAGTTCAAACTTACTCTTTTAGTAGATGGGGAAACTGAGGCACGGGGAGGTGGTTGCCCAAGGCTCCGCGCAGGGGGTCTCCTTACTCGTGGTGGTGCCGCCCCCACCACGAGGGGGTCCCCCAGTTTAGCCAGGAGCTGGGGGTCCCGAGGACCCAGCGGCAGGGTCAGGAGAGGAGGGGGCACTGGGAGACAGCCTGGGGCAGGCGGGGTGTGGAGATGGTGCTCAGAGGACCGTGATGCTCTGTGACCGGGAATCGCGTGTTTCCTTCACACCCCACCCCGGATCTTCGGGAGCTGGGCTCCCAGGGACAGGAAAGTCTATGTCTTAAAATCCTAAGTAGACAGCAAATATGGGCTGAGGTCCCCTCTGCAGAGACGCCAGCCTGCGGTAGGGAAACAGCGCCGTGGGCCGTGGAACCAAACTGCTTCGGGTTCAAATAGGAAATGGGGCAGCAGAGCTGAAGAGGCGCCTCGAGAATGAAAATACCAAACGGCCCCGAGCACGCTCCCCTCATCAGCCACCAGGGAACCACAGGTAAAAGCACAGCGAGACACCTTTCCACACCCAGAGCAGAGGACGTGCCAAGACGGGGGACACGGTGCGGGCGAGGACGTGGGAGGGGAAATCCACTCGTTGTCCACAGACACTGCGCCCCACGGCCGCTCCCAGGGGCACCCCTCACAGACGGGAATCCAGGTTCCCCCTCGCCACACGTTCACAGCAGCTCTGCTCCAACAGCCCAGAGTGGACACAGCCTGTGTGCCCATGCACAGGAGCACGGACAAACCACACTACAACCACGGGACGGAAAACTGCACAGCGTGACACTGGACGATCTGCAACCACACACGTCACAGGGGGATTGTCAGATGCAACGCTGAGTGAGACGCCGGACACAGAGGAGACACTGCGTGTCCCGTTTACAGCAGGGTGGAAACAGGCACATCAACCTGAGCAGAGCGGCCGTCCTCGGGTGGAACAGTGACGGGAGGGGCAGAGAGCGGGCCCTGGGTCACACGGTGTGGGGGGCTGTGCAGCGGCTGGAGCTGCCCCATCCATGCCCCGTCCACGTGTGTGTTCTACTTGTAGGCAGGAGGCAGACAGCGAGCTGGGGAGAGGGTCGTCGCAGCTGGGGGCTGTGGGTCCTGGGAGAGACTGAGGCTTTTCCTTCATCCCCTGGGCTCCCCTCCCCCTGAGACGCCTGCTGAAAGGGAGAGGGCCTTCTGTGCTCGGGCTGTGCCTGCTCGGGAGGGTCCCTGCTGCCCTGTCCCAGGCCCGTCCAGGACGGAGCTGGAGGGAGGAGAGTCTGGGGGTCGGTATGGTGGCCAGGAGCAGCCTGCACTCCCATCCAGGCAAGCACCACGGGCTTCCTGCGGTCAAGGGGTCATAACAGACGTAGCTGACTTGACCCATGAGCCAGTGCCCACCTGGCGGGGCCGAGGTCTGGGAGAGACCAGCCCAGCAGCGAGAGGCCGGGGGAGGGGCAGGAGCACAGGGGAGAGGTGGAGAGGTCAGCCACAGTCAGAGCCTCTGGCCTGGGCCGTGCAGCGGCGAGGCCCTACAGGGCTCCCACCGCCCCGGACCCACACACACCCCTGAGAGGTGTCGTGTTCCAACGCTCGCCACAGCCACACGGGGGTCTTCGATGACAGCGGTAGAGTTTGCTGCAGAAGCGGGGGCAGCCCGCAGGGGGAGAAGCTGGTGGGGGTAGAGTAACAGGAGGCTCCCTCCTTCCTCCCCCTGCTCCCTCACCCCCCCCACACTGGCAGCAGCTGAGGAGGCGAGTCAGAGCCAGCTCACACCCCACCTCTCCACTCCTGGCAGCCAGAGCCAGCTCGAGCCCGCCTGGAGCACAGGGGAGGAGACAAAGCTTGAAACAAGCTTGGGATTAAAACAAGACACTGGGGTGACTTTCAACAGCCGAAAGTGACAGTCCTGAGTCCACAGTGATGTTGAAGGTTGGGGATGGGAGGCTCCCCGAGGCCTTGGA